GTGCCGTGCCCTTCTGCACGGCTGGTGCGGTGACGGCGTGCTGCGTGTGGGGTGCACGCCGAGGACGAGTTTTCTCCGTGGAGTACTGCCGTGTGGGCTGGACGCCCAAGCGTGAGCGCGGCAGGGGAGTGTTAACGGGAATGGATTGTTGGCCCCGCCCTCGCTTGGGCAACGCTGACGACTTGGTCGGATGTACGGGAGTAGCAGCCGACCGTTCACAGTGGGAGAGCTGCTCGACAGGCTTCGTCGAGCTGCAGGGGACCACTGTGGTGCTGATGTCGACCAGGGAGCTCGACAGTTGCAACTGGCTGGTCTGGGCGACGGGTGGGCCGTCGGCCAGGAGGGGCAGTTCGACCGGGAGGCCTCCGTCGACCTGCAGCTCGACCGGGAGGTCTCCGTCGGTTTGCAGCTCGACCAGGGGGGTCTCTGTCGACCTACAGCTCGACCGGGAGGTCTCCGGGGCCTCCCATCGACCTGCAGTTCGACCGGGAGGTCGACGGAGCAGTCCGTCGACTTGGCAAGTGAGCAGCGGTCGACGAGGGGAGCTCGGCGACAACCGCTGACGGTTCTGGTTGACGGAAGGGGTCCGTCGACCAGGGGGTAGCTCGACGGGAGTTGTGGTCGACCGGAGGCACCTGGTGGTCGACCAAAGGGACGCGGTGGTCGACCAGAAGCAGTGGTGGTCGACCGGAAGCACCTGGTGGTCGACCGGTGTCGACCGGGTAACCTGCTCGACGAGTTCTGCGGAGGCACGCGAACGTCGTCGAGGTTGCGATGGCGAAGACGACTGCGGGCTGGTATCCCGAAGTCGATGTGGCTTGTCAGGCGCAGACAATAGCCGACGGATGCCCAACGAAGCAAGTCGGGCCAATCGTCTGCGTGCACCTGCGAGCGTGCGCACTGCTGTGTTCTATGGGGCAACGCTGGACAGCAGCTCTGCTGCAGCGTTGGCACGCCGTCGACCTGCTCTGTTGGCAGGTCGCCCTTCTGCAGTGCTGGCGCGGCTCCTCTACGCAACGCTGGCAGGCGGTCGACCGGGCTGTGTTGGCGGTCGACCAGGCTAGCTGCAGGGTTGCTAGGTGCCTGATGTAGTCATTCTGTTATTGCTTGTTCAATCATTCTGGAATTCCAACTTTGCTAGTGGAAACTCTTGCCGATTTCTCCCGTGAATGTGCAAGCACTAAGGAACCAAGCAAAGCTACGATCACTCCTAGTAGTTCGTCAACCCCTGTAGTCTAGCTCACTACCGTTGTAGAGTGACTCTCTGCAGAGTGCAGATGCGGAGCGACGGGCGGCAGCCCGAAGGTGACGCTACAGGGCGACGGGCGGCGGCCCGACGAGAAGCTGCGGGGCGACGGGCGGCGGCCCGACGAGGAGAAGAAATGACGCGATGACGTTCGACGAAAGTGAGCGATAGGTTATAGCGCCGACGATGCGCTTACCAGAGAAATCGTAGATGTTGTCGAAAGTGACGGGAAGGTGGTGCGGGAGAATTTCCGCCCACGAATGTCGCGAATCACCGGCGACGAGATTGAAGGTGGTTACGCCGAGGTTTGCGGGACAAGCATTCGCAGAGATAAGAGGATCATGATCCGCGTGTGCGGTTGAAGCGCTCTGATACCATGTCACAACTTAGGCTTAGAACTGATACAATAGTAATGAGCTTGAAGCTCCTTAAGTACCTCCAAGAAGGGTAGGGAATGGATGGGGAAGGGAATCGGGGGCAATCCCTAGGGATTGGGGCTAATACCAAGGCAATCTCCAATTGGTGGGTTGGAGATTGCTTGGAGATCACATTTGGGTTTGGTTGGGATGTAGGTGTACACCCAACCAAACACAAAGTGCAAACTACACTACTCTAGGATATAGAAAATATAAAGTACAAAGTGTGAGATTGAGGGCTAACACTAACAGAAGGCACATGTCGACATGATTTAAAGTACCTATGACGCTAGACGCGTCTTCCCCAACTAAGTTCAAGTCTCAAATCAGGCCAACAGAGTACAATAAAGACCGCACTTCACCGCACCGAATCTAGAATTTCCAACCAGTCCATCAATTTCCAAACCATGTCGACTATATCTGGCCCCATTTGTTGGCCAAATATATAGTCGACAGCGTAATCACCTTCTAGGGTTTTCTCGACCAGCACTAAACTAGCTTATAAGTAGAGTTTACTAAGGAACACTTCTCGTATGTTTGATTGAGCTCCAACAACTCTGTCGCGCAGCTCATATAGGACCTCCACGGCAAATTGCCGTGGGGGTCAAAAGCGGGCCGAAAAGGCCTGACCTGGGCCTCGTCTTGAGGCAGGCCAAAAGCGGGCCGCCGACAGATTGGCGGGCCGGGACTGCCCGGCCCGCTCCGGGCCGACGGCCCCAACCAAGAGGTTCGGCCCAGGGCACTTTCGGGCCGGCCCGACCCGGCCCGAACCAAGTCCCCCCCCCTCAACCCTACTTTTCTTATATGCAGCCATAATCATGTGCCCATGATTAAGTATTTCTTCCACCCATAACACCATTTGCATGATGTACCATCAGGTTTCTTGACAACAACGCTCTGAGTGGGTCTATTCCATCCACCATCGGCAACATGAGAAACCTCATTATGTTGTGAGCATGATCAAGGGAATATGCATGTCAGTTTACATGACCCGGGAGAGGTTGTCAAATCAAGAGAGGCAACATATAGTGACACTAGGTCAACTTGATTTGGGAATGGGCATGCACGCTAGGCATCAGCAAGGGGCGCTGGGCCGAGCAAGGCTGCTGATGCGGCCCGTAATGGATTGGTTTCACAGCAAGCCTGCCAGATGTCTGCAGCAAGGAGATATGCAAGGGTACTAATTCAAAAGATGCTGGCAATTTGCTGGCCTCATCTGCATAGACATGGCATTGAGCACAGCCGTCTCAGACCATAACACGACCAGTCATAGCACATGACCTTTCTGCAACAAGCTGACTTTCGTTCGGACGCTAATAAATGGCGGACCGTGATTAACAAGCTGGATGTGCAATAAGGCTAGTCTGGCGTGTATTGCTAGTAGGCTGACTCGACCAGGCCAGCCCTGGTTCTGCCTGGAAGTAATGTCTAATGCACTCATGCAAGCCCTATCTTGCCATGCATTTGCCTCCGTTGGGAATGTCTATGGCCCCTGGAAGATTTCTACAAGATAAGAGCAGGCATGAACGTATAAGTTCCAGCCGATCGCGGTCGTTTCAGTCCATGATGAGCCGACTAGCAGATGAGGCGAGTGGGCAAATGATTGTTCCTGAGGTTCGTTTGTCTTATATGAACTGGTCAAAGACGGGACGAGCAGATGTGGCAGTTCGCAGCAGCATGCCTCGCGTCCAGTACCTGCAGGTCAGCCGTGAGGGGCATGCCTCGTAGTACAAGGCACACCCATCACGGTTGACCTGCCGGTGCTGGATGCAAGGCATGCTGCTGTGGAAGGTGCTAGTCAGTCCCTGGTGAGTGTCCGAACGTCCTTTAAGCCACCTCTGTTACAAAGCACGCCCCTCACGGCTGACCTGCCGGCCGGCACTGGATGCGAGGCATGCTGCTGCGGGTGCTGCTTGTCACCATCTCTCAGATCCACTGAGTTATAGCAGTTAGCTGACATTGTCCAAACAGGTGAAATCTATTCAACCCCTATACAATTGTCAACCATTCCCCCGCCGGCCTCATGGCAAGTCGTTCAAGCAGCGGTAGTGATTGGAGCTGCTGGGAGCCTTTTTTGGGGCAACCTGCTGCCTATGGCACAGCAAATTCCACAAAAGGAGGAATGGAAATCGCAAACTAGGGATCAGAGGCGAGGAGAAGCTGGGAATTTCGAGCCTTGGCAGTCTGTTCCGGCCGCTGGGGTAAAATATTGTAGCTGCAATCAATTAACGTTTATCAAAGCGTTATAAGATGATGTGCGGCTCATCATACAATCTTAGGTCAACACATCATGCATTTTTTATCTCCCTCTCCTGATGTCTCCTACCTTGTACCACCTTTTGATTCATTCTTCGTGTCTTCATCTCTGTACACGTGTAATCTCTGACATGTATGCACCATCAGGAATTATGGTAGCTATGCTTTGGCTTGTTGTCTAATATCTGTCAATTTCATTGCAGTGATGCCAGTTCGAACAACCTCACTGGCCATCTCCCTCCAACAGTGGGCAATCTCACTAGTCTTTATAGCTTGTAAGGCATCTTAACATGTTGGGTTTAATACCATTCTGGCTTTGAAGCGTCTCATGAAGTGGAGGTGTAGATGGAACCTAGGTAGGTGTTCCACTGGTGTAAGGTAGTCCATGTTTTATTGCAGCCACAGGTAGGAAGTAAACAAAGTACCAAGGGCCAGACTTGAAATGGCCTGGCCCAATCATCATCGGCCTAACAGCTATCGAACCGGGCTGGTAAGCAAAAACACAATGTATGATTTACCAGTATTTTGATCCTGCTGACATCCTGGCATGGTAGAACACTGCAATGCGTTCCTCTCCAGCTCAGAGCATTTCACTTGGAGTATTTGTGATTCAAAGTTTGAGAACGCTCCATCTGCACATGCAGGATCTTCTCGACGGCAATCACATGCCCTCCTAACTACAGCAGCTGCATGGTCCCACAGACCAATATAAGTGCTTTCTGCTTTGAGTGTGACTCCTTCTGCTCCACATGTGTCATGCCACCACCAGGTGAGATGCTCCTTATGCAGGTAGCTGCAAATTGTACTGCCTATTTTTGCTTTTCTCTCATTAGTGTTGATTGCGTGAACACTGCATTGCCACCTACGAAACAAGCCTTTCCATTGTCAAGCATCCCGCAGCTTAACTACTCCTCATAATATGAAATTTTGCATCCTCATGGCCTTCACAACCCTTTAGTGCCCTTCCTTTGCCTCCACTCTCTGTGCAAAAATTGCATCATGCCAAATCCAATTTCACCAAGCCCACCGCCATCCCCATGTCTGATTGCCTTTTCTCTTCCCTGTCTCTGTCTTCCTATCCCATGAATGTACCCTCCCCGTCACTAGTGCCAAAGCCCTCTCCATCGCCAACGCCAACACCCTCCCCATCGCCAGTGTTAACACTTTCCCCATCGCCAGTGTTAACACCCTCCCCATCGCCAATACCAGCACCATCCCCATCGCCAGTGCCCACACCCTCACCACCTCCTCCCACGTCAACTCCTATTGAGCCCACCGCCTCTCCCTCCCAGTCTGGAGGCGGTTTATCCAGTGGAGCCATTGCTGGCATTGCTGCTGGAGGCAGTGTGGCTGTTGTGCTGCTGCTGCTTACCTGGCTGCTGTGCAAACGATGCCGCGCCAAAGGGTCAACAGGGGGAGGCGGAACCAGCACCGATGTGGATGCTAAGGATTTGGCAGAAGATTGTGTGCTCCAAGGTAAGATCTTTCCAGTCCATGCTGCCCAAAATCTGCCGTCATCCCTAGCATTCTTCTTCAATTTCCATCCACTTTTATTTCCTCAGCTTCGTCTTATCTCCTACTTCAAAACCCCTTCCAGGCTCAGAACCTGATTATTCAAACGCAGCATCCAGAGGAGAGGAGAGGGACCCAGAAGCAGCAGCAGCCGCTGCTGCTGCTGCAGCTGTGGCTGTGGCAGGGGGAGCAGCAGCACGGGAGAAGCAGAGGGACGTGGTAGTGGAGATGGAGGCAGTGAAGCCACATGTGTGCCAGAAATTCACTCTGGAAGAGCTCGCAAGCGCAACGGGAGACTGGGCAGAGGGAAACAGGATTGGCAGCGGCAGCTTTGGAGATGTGTACAAGGGCGTGTCAGTGAATGACCCCAATGCGATGTGGGCTGTCAAGCGATCTAGGGTCCTCTCCAACGACTTCCTTACTGAGGTACCGGACTTTCCTTAACGACTTCCTCGCTCATGATGCTTCCGGCGTGTACAAGGGAGTGTCAGCGCATGAATTGTGCTGCAATGCTGTTTTTGAATTACCTTTGTGAGCAGCCCCCTTCCCCCCCTCCCCTCCCTCCCCCTACCCACCCCACCCCCCCCCCCCCCCTCCCCCCCGCCCCCCCACACACACAGTCATTGATATATACACACCACATACAAAAACAAACATTTGTATAAATACACACACATGCACACTCCGTATATGTTCGCTTCTCTCCTCTCCCTGCCAAATGATTTCCCACTTTTCAGGTGAAGGAGATGGCGAGCAAGCACCACCCCAACCTGGTGCGCCTGCTGGGATTCTGTGTGAACTTTGACCCAGCTACAAGTCTCATAGAGCAAGTGCTCGTGTATGAGTTCATGGTCAACCGGGACCTCGAGAGCTGGATTGGACCAGGTACATAAGAATCTCTATACACTTGACAGCTTGTGATTGGCGCTAGTCAAATCTCTTTCACTTCTAACCTGCACATTGGGTCAGAGTTGGAGGTTCTCACTGCAAACACTTCTACTGCCATTGGTGAATTACTACGCATAAGTCGATCTTTTCGTTATACCGACCAGCTTTGAACCCCTTTGGACTTATCTTGTTTGGATCTCGAGAGCTGGATTGGACCAGTAGCTAAGCTTTTCTCTGTACAGAATAGCTTCTTCTTGCGCCAGACTATATTTCACTTTCAATATGCGAATCCGGATCAGAACTAAGAGTTTCTTCTTCTCACCACAACTCTTATTGTTCTCATTGGCGAACCACAGGTTGAAAGTTCTTCTTCTATTTATGAAGAACCAACCAAATTCCAACCCTGATGTGTGCATTTCTCATTTCAGGATCAACTGAAATGCTACATTTTGGTATGGCATAATAATTTTCACTCCGTGCCTTTCTAGGTGCTCCAAGCCCCCTTTCATTGTCGCAACGACTCGATATTCTAATTGGAGTGGCAAAGGGCTTGCAGTATCTTCATGACTTTGGCATTGTGCATCGGGACATTAAGCCAGCCAACATTCTTCTTGATGCAAAAATGCATGTACGTCAAATTGCAATTTCTGCTCTCTTTTTGTTTGACCAAACTAGGGGTTTGCTTTCTTGTTGCTAGCATGCTTTTTCTCGGTGGAAACAAATTGGTGATGACCGATACTTAATTGTTGCCTACATGCTCTTGCAATTGTTGTTCATGCTAAAATTGCAAAATTCAGTCCTCACATGCAATCATCGTTGAGTTTGATTTATTTGTGATCGTTGTTTTCTCATTCTAGCATGCAATGGCCTATATTGTTTTGCCTCCACGCACTTGCAATCGCTGTTCAGGCCAAGATTGCAGACTTTGGGCTGGTGAAGCTCACTGGGGGCACCGCTATGGGCGCGTCTGTGGCTGCCACTCGTGTGATGGGAACACCGGGCTATGTGGACCCTGCCTATTACAAGTCCCACAAGGCCACTCCAGCAGCAGATGTGTACAGGTGAGCACAAAGATTTGCCTTGCTTATTTTCCAGGGTCATTGTGCTCTAAGGAATGCTCCAATGTAAGATTGGGTTCCATCGGCCTCCATTCTTAACCCGTTCTCTTTTTGGTTGTTTCATTGATACTCATGACGCTCCACTGACATGCAGTTCTTCTTCATCGAATAGATATAACATCAGGCGTTATAGAGTCGTTTGTCTATGCGCCATACTAAGTTCTTCGCCTGAAAAGGAGGAGAAAATTGTTGCACGTATGGCTAATATAGTATCACTCCCCCTTCTGTTCCCCTTGTTTCTGTTGCTGCTTGGGTGTTGGCAGCTTCGGTGTGGTGATGCTGGTGGCGATTTCAGCACGTAAGGCCGTTCATGTCAGTGAGACCAGCCAGATCAACCTAAAGCAATGGGTGAGGCGCAGTTGCTTGGCACAAATTGACTTCTCCAATGCTTTATGCAGAAGCTGTGCATGACCAACATTCACTTCTCAAATCATTAGTCTGCAATGGATCAGGCTCATCCGCATGGCTGTGGTCCCTTTGACCCAACAGATCACCCCGTTTGTGGAGTCAGATGCTGTGGCAGTGTTCAAGGACCCATACTTGGACGCACCAGATGACTTGGTGCTGCGCTGGGCTCGCCTTGCCCTCTCCTGCACCGCCATGCCCGCAACCTCCCGCCCCTCCATGAATCAAGTGCTGGGGGAGCTGCTGAAGCTGAAGCAGGAGATCTTTAAGCCACGTGTGAGCAAGGGCGTACCTTCTGTTGACAACGAGATTCAGAGTTCAATTGGCTCCTCTGGCTTCACTGCTGAAATGGCCCGTGCAGAGCGCGAGGGCATGCAGAGTGACTCTGCAAACAGCATGCTATAGACGTACACAACACGCTCGCTACAGAATCATCCTACAGGGTGCTTGCTTTGTCAATACGCTGTCAATTCCGGCAGAATGCTTGTTTTTCACTACACCATACCGATATGGCATTGTTAGTTGTAGTCAACAATAGAGGTAAAATGAAATGGATGGGACAGGATTTTGCAATGAAGAGTGGAAGGCGTGGAGGAAGGAAGGGTGTAGAGAAGACTGGGCAAATGCGACTGGTTCAAGCGACCCCGTGAACGTTGTGAAATACACATTGTGCTGTCCCGCATATTATAGGTTTTGGGGGCAGATCTGACTCTGGCTGCTCTGTGCGGGAATTTTGACTGCACTGGCTGCTGCTGAAATATCATGCGGGGTGCTTGCTGTATAATGTATCATACACTATTCTCACGAAGTTCTCGTTTCCAAAAACGAGGCCTTTTGTAGCGAGAGACCCTCTCGCCACCAGCAACTGCTTTCACCCCAACCCACGAGCCTTTTTACCAACTTTCTTCCTCGTTCGCTTTGTTGCAGTTGAGCAGCATGACGCTGTGAGTGTTGATCCATCCCCCACAGAATCGTTTTTTTCGTGGTTTCTAGACGGTTCTGTAGGTTACATATGCGCTAATCAGGAAAGAGGTGCAGTGGACGATCAACACCTACAACCGGCCAGACTGAAAACGTATCAAAACTCAGGCAGAATGGAACACCTATCAACACCTATCGCGCACAACTCGCCTCCACAGCATAATTGCGTACTAGATTAGAGCCATCAAACTAAAACAAACTCAGCGGCTCTCTCCGCGTAAACGTCACGTTCGCGCTGGCTGGTTACCCGCGAGTTTTTAGCCGCATTGAGATCTCAGTCTTCGATGCGATGCAACCCGTCGGCGAAGTCGCGACTCGCATTGTCGCATCGCGCCAGTAGTACCCGTCGCCATAATTGCAACTGACTTGGCCATTCTTTCTTACATGTGAATTGCCGTTCTTTATACTTCGCCAGTCGCCTGAGTTCCCTATAAGCTGATTCAGTAGTAGCAATTGTCGCCTTCATCCTCTCAATCTCATTACCGTCGAGGCGATGCAGTCCCTCAACTCCTCCTATCTTCGACCATCGCCATCCGCGTTATAATGTAATTCTAGCAATGCAATCAGGCCACGTGGCACGTACAGCAAGAGAAGCTGGACCGTCCGATCGATCCCCCAAGCTCCTTTCACGTGACAGATAGGCTTCTTCGAGTTTTTGGAGTTATTCTAGAAAGACGACTTTTTGAGACGTCTCTGTGGTTTTTTTTAGCTTTAGAAGCTGTTCTCCAAAGACGCTCGCCCGTTCGAAGGACCATCGTGCGACTTTTCAGTCGACCAAAAAAGGACGTCGCGACGCCACCACCACCGTACGATGCTCATCATCCGATCCGTACCCGTTGTTGGATTCTCAAGTGCGGTACTATAAGGTCCATTTCAAGATGACTCTGACGTCACTCCTCTCTCACCTCCTCCACCTCCCCATCCCTCTGCATCCCTCCTCTCTTCTCCTCCTCGTCCTCCTCATCTCCGTCTCACGATCCCCCGTTTGCAATGCCGCTGCCGCCGCCACTCTCGCAAGAACCACCGACGCGCAATTGACGGCAGGAGGCATCAGCGACAGACACAGCAGAGACGAATTCTCTCCGCCCTTCATCTCGCAACGTCCCGTCAACTCCTTGATCTCCTTTCCCACAGAACGGCCCTCTAGTCGTCAAGATTCGGCAACCCTTTCTAAATCAAGGCATCCAATTCTCAGAAGCGCCGTTTTCTCTCACAAACAAGGTGCTCTTGAACCCGCGCCTCGGGATGGCGGGTCGCGAGCGTCGCCGCGAGAGTCGCGAGCTTCGCGCGTGTTGCGAGAGGCGTCGCGAGCGTCGCACGCGTCGCATGCGTCGCGAGCGTCGTCGTATGCGTCGCAGGCGTCGGAGCTCCACAGTCAGCTGGCGGTTCTGTGGGAGATGGCGAATCGAGTGGCGATTAACGGCACCGTTATCTTCGTTTACTTCAACGCTGGTGAGAGGAGTGTCCTCTCTCTCACCCCAGCTCTTTCCCCGCCTTCTTCTTGCTGTTGGTGATAGCGAGTGGAGTGGCGATCCCCGTCTTTTTCTCCCCACTCCCCCCTCCCTCCTCCCTCCTCCCTCCTCCCTCCTCCCTCCTCCCTCCTCCCTCCTCCCTCCTCCCTCCTCCCTCCTCCCTCCTCCCTCCTCCCTCCTCCCTCCTCCCTCTCCCCCCTGCCCCCTTTCCCACCCCCTTCCCCTTCTCCCCACTCCCGCACCCCACTGCCACGTGTCACCCTCTCACAGGCTACAACGACATGCTGGAGAACTGGGCATGGCACGTGCAAGCAGTGGGGCTGGGCGGCCATTTCATCATCTTCGCCGCTGATCAAACAGCTCTAGCCTTCGCCACCAGCAAATGGCCGGGCCAGGTGCGACTGCATGCAGGGGTTTGCGTTGCCAATGCAATGGGGTTCTGAACGTCCTTATGGGAGCAGGCGGTGGGGCTGGGCGGCCATTTCATCATCTTTGCTGCGGACCAGAGAGCTAAGGGTGTGCCTCAAAACGCGTACATCAATAGGGTGTGTCTACTTTATCATCATCTGAAACGTCCTTATGAAAGCGGGCAGTTATTTTCTTCCTCCTGAACTTCTCAAATTTGGCCTTTTTCTCGTTATCATTTTTCAAGTGTACCATTCTCCTCCTCCTTTCCTTCCTCACCAACAAGTGGGTGGGTGGGTGGGTGGGTTGGGTGGGTGTCGGAACAGGTGTAACCTTGCCCATGCCACCTTCCTCTTTCTCCCTGTGTGATAAGTCAAGTTTCGAGTTTCTCCCTGTGTGCTGTGCTACCTTCCTCTTTCTCCCTGTACTCCCTCCATACATGTCTCATTGTTCACCTCACTTCCTCCCTCGTTCCTCCTGCGTTCCCCCCGTCCCCCCTCTTCATCCCCGTTATAGGCCGTCTTGCTGCCGTTTTCAGGGCAGTTCGGGCAAGAAGAGAAAATTAGTAATTTCGAGTCGGCGCATTTCTATGGGGATGCTGGTTTTCACAAAGTCGCATCGCATCGTGCGGTGTACATTCTACACCTACTGTGCTTTGGCTTTAACGTTTTTTATAGCGATATAGATATAGCTTGGGCACAGAACCCTCTGCCGTTTTTCACGGTGGAGGGGAGTTTAGGGATTGCGAGAGCGAAGGTCGAAAAACGGAAAGCTGAATTGGCGGCGAAGGAAAAGGCTAGATTAGAGGAACAAGCAAAGGCAGAAGCGGAAGCAAAGGCGAAGTTAGAGGAGAAATCTAAGGCAGAAGCTGAAGCAAAGGCCAAGGCGAAAGCACGAAAGAAAATTGAGACAGCAGGAGCAGCAGAAGCAGCAGGAGCAGCAAGAGCAGCACGAGCAAAAAGAGCAGCAGGAGCAGGAGCAGCAGAAGGAGAAGCAGCAGAAGCAGCAAGTGATTTGGGTGACGTGGGAGATCTAAGTGTCGTGGTGGGGGATGTGGGAACAGAGTCTGGGAGAGAGGGGAATGTGGGGGGGGGAGGAGCAACGGCAGAAGGAGGAGGAGAGGGAGCAGGAAAGGCTAGTGGAAGAGCAGAGGGAGTGTCTGATGGTGCAGGGACAGAGAGAGAGGAGGAAAGGCAGCAAAAGCGGCAGTTGCAAGAGGAGCAGGGGCAGAAGGGGGTTGGGGGAGGAAGTCAGGGGAACGAGGAGGAGGGAGCACAGAAGCAGCAATCGGAGCAGCAGCAGGAGGAGCAGAAGGAGCAGGAGGAGGAGCAGACGGAAGGGGGAGAGGAGGATGATTTTGATGTCTACTTGACTCTGGATGAAAGTGTACTCGTTAATGCATCAAGTGCATGTGAGCCTTTAAGCTACTACCCGGAAAATAAGATCTACTGTAGCTGTTTCCTCTACGTTCGTCCCACACCCGGCGCTAAGGCTTTCATCGCGGATTGGGCGTTTAGGATGGCGAAAACAGGGCGATCTGGGGGAATAGACCAGGATCAGATGCAAATGGTGATTGGGCAGATGGAAAAAAACATAGTGGATGGGAGAGTCATTGCGCCTAAAATCGCAGTCCTTCCGCCGAATAAATTCCTTTCCGGGCACGTTATGACGTATAACTGGACGAGGTTTGAGACGTTAAAGCCCCGGGCGGTTACCATTCATGCGAATTACATCTCTGGGAAGGATGCGAAAAGAGAAAGGTTGAAGCAAGCAGGGTTTTGGAGGGTGGGGGAGGGGAGGAAGGAGGAGGCCAGGAGGGAGATTGAAGGTTTGGCTTTAGACTTTGAAGGGGAGGGATGGCTAAAGGAGTACCTTGTGGAAGTTGCTCGGAAGGCGCGGCGGGTGGAGGGGGACGGGTGGGTGATAGTGGTGGTGGTGTGTGAAGGGGAGGGCGACCTGTTTCAGAACTGGCTCAAGGGCATATCGCTGCTTGGATTCGGCGGGCGGTTTGTGGCGGCAGTGGCAGAGGAGGTGAGTGAGCTGACCTGGCTGCGGTGGTTTTTGAGACGTCTCATAAGTTGACCTGGCTGCGGTGGTGCTTGCTTGCTTGCGCTGCTAGCCTGTTCCGTACTATCTGATTTAGAATCAAGCTCTAGCTGTTCTCAAGTTGGCTTATTATTTAAGGACATATCGCTGCTGGATTTGGCGGTAAGGTTTGTGGCGGCAGTGGCAGAGGAGGTGAGTTGACTGAGATGTGGTGCCTGCTCGACTAGTCAGCCTGTGTGACGCTTGTGCTTGTGCTTGTGCTTCTGCTTCTGCTGCCTAGTTTGTCTCGTAATTTGTGGTTTGTCTCAGTTGCCTAGCTGAGCGAGCTCAAGCTGTTGGGAAGTTCAGTCAAGCTGTTGGGAAGTTCAGTCAAGCTGTTGGGAAGTTCAGTCAAGCTGTTGGGAAGTTCAGTCAAGCTGTTGGAAAGTTCAGTCAAGCTGTTGGGAAGTTCAGTCAAGCTGTTGGGAAGTTCAGTCAAGCTGTTGGGAAGTTCAGTCAAGCTGTTGGGAAGTTCAGTCAAGCTGTGGGGAAGTTCAGTCAAGCTGTTGGGAAGTTCAGTTAAGCTGTGAGGAAGTTCAGTCAAGCTGTTGGGAAGTTCAGTTAAGCTGTGGGGAAGTTTAGTCAAGCTGTTGAAAAGTTCAGTCAAGCTGTTGGTGAATTCAGTCAAGCTGTTGGGAAGTTCAGTCAAGCTGTTGGGAAGTTCAGTCAAGCTGTTGAGAAGTTCAGTCAAGCTGTTGGGAAGTTCAGTCAAGCTGTTGGGAAGTTCAGTCAAGCTGTGGGGAAGTTCAGTCAAGCTGTTGGGAAGTTCAGTTAAGCTGTGGGGAAGTTCAGTCAAGCTGTTGGGAAGTTCAGTTAAGCTGTGGGGAAGTTCAGTCAAGCTGTTGAAAAGTTCAGTCAAGCTGTTGGTAAATTCAGTCAAGCTGTTGGGAAGTTCAGTCAAGCTGTTGGGAAGTTCAGTCAAGCTGTGGGGAAGTTCAGTCAAGCTGTTGGGAAGTTCAGTCAAGCTGTTGGGAAGTTCAGTCAAGCTGTTGGGAAGTTCAGTCAAGCTGTTGGGAAGTTCAGTCAAGCTGTTTGGAAGTTCAGTCAAGCTGTGGGGAAGTTCAGTCAAGCTGTTGGGAAGTTCAGTCAAGCTGTTAGGAAGTTCAGTCAAGCTGTGGGGAAGTTCAGTCAAGCTGTTGGAAAGTTCAGTTAAGCTGTGGGGAAGTTCAGTCAAACTATTAAGAAGTTCAGTTAAGCTGTGAGGAAGTTCAGTCAAGCTGTTGAAAAGTTCAGTCAAGCTGTTGGTAAATTCAGTCAAGCTGTTGGGAAGTTCAGTCAAGCTGTTGGGAAGTTCAGTCAAGCTGTTGGGAAGTTCAGTCAAGCTGTTGGGAAGTTCAGTCAAGCTGTTGGGAAGTTCAGTTAAGCTGTGGGGAAGTTCAGTCAAGCTGTTGAAAAGTTCAGTCAAGCTGTTGGTAAATTCAGTCAAGCTGTTGGGAAGTTCAGTCAAGCTGTTGGGAAGTTCAGTCAAGCTGTTGGGAAGTTCAGTCAAGCTGTTGGGAAGTTCAGTCAAGCTGTTGGGAAGTTCAGTCAAGCTGTTGGGAAGTTCAGTCAAGCTGTTGGGAAGTTCAGTCAAGCTGTTGGGAAGTTCAGTCAAGCTGTTGGGAAGTTCAGTCAAGCTGTTGGGAAGTTCAGTCAAGCTGTTGGGAAGTTCAGTCAAGCTGTTCATACCACCTTTCCATCCTCTGCTCAATCCCCCAAGCCGTAGCATCATCATCGTCTATCCCTGGGTAAGCAACCCTCTCCTGCGTTGCCCTGTATTACCACTTTCTCTTTCCTCCCTGCCCCTTTACTTTCCCTTGTTTGCCTCTCTGCCTCCTGCGCCCTCACTCTTCCCTCTGCCTATTTCCCTCATACTAACTCCCGCAGGCCGTAGCATCGTTTATTCCTGTACTCAGCAACCACCTCCTCCTCTTCCGTTGCCCTTTCTTACCACCTTCTCTTTCCTCGCTGCCCATTTCCTTTCCCTCTGTTTGCCTCCCTGCCTCCGTATCTCGCTCCTTTCACACCCCAGGCCGTAGTATCGACTATCCCTGGGTTCAGCAACCCATCTCCTCCCCTTCCGGCCTCCACGTTCACCCCACTTCCCTCCTGCCTCTAACCTTGTTCCCTTCCTCGCCCTTTCTCCCCCATACACGCTCCACCTCAGGCCGCAGCATCGTCTATCTCTGGGTCTACCTCCTCCCCTTCCACTCCCTTACCTCCCTTTCTTTCCTTCCTGCTCGTACTCTGTCCCTCTGTTGCCTCCCTGCTTCCTAATCTCGCTCCTTTCACACCCCAGGCCGTAGCATCGTCTATCCCTGGCTTCAGCAACCACCTCCTCCCCTTCCCTGCCCAAGTCCCCTCTGCCAATGCCTCTCGGGTGTGCTCAGCTCTTCCGGCCCTCCTGGCGGCTCAGCTCATGCAGGCAGAGCAGAGCACTATCATCAGGTACGGTGCGGTTTGATGCGGTGAAGAGTGGTTTGATGCGGACCCAAGTCCCTCTGCCAATGCCTCTCGGGTGTGCTCGGCCCTTCCAGCACTCTTAGTGGCCCAGCTCATGCAGGCAGAGCAGAGCACCATCATCAGGTAGGATGTGGTTCGATGCGCCTTGATGCGGTGAAGAGTGGTTCAATCCAGTGAGTCATGATCGATGGTTCACGTCCTTCTTTCCTGCCTATGCCTCTCGGGTGTGCTCTGGCATTCCAGCACTTATGGTTACCTGCAACGCTTTTGAGTCGAATCAAAAGCATTCCGGCACTCTTGGTGACCTGCAACGTCCTTGCAATCTGATCAGGGGAGTGCACATGCTTGCGAATGCCCCTCAAACCACCATCTTCTTTTATTTTCATAACCCTTTGATCTGCTGTATTTTCGTATCCAATTGAATCGACTCACAAAGCATGCATGTAAATTCCCCCTAGCCTTCCCACACCATCCCCCTCATCCCAGATCTGTTGCTGTCTCCTATAAGCTGTCGTTAATTCTTACATCACTCTGGATGTAACTCTATTCCTGTCTTTCTCTTCCGTTCTTTCTATCTCTGCGTGCCTTTTGCTCTGTTCTACCTCCCGCTTTTTCTAAGTCCTCTTTCTATTTCCTCCCTTTCCCTGTCTTTCTCTCTTGGTTCATCTCCGACCACCCCTCCCCTTCCCTCCCATGCAGTGATGTCAGCACTGTATGGTTGAAAGACCCCTTCCCCTTCTTCTCCCCTGACTATAACCTCATCCTTCCCTCCTTCCGAGACCAGTCCCCATCACTCATCACCGCAACCACCACCTCCTCCTCCTACTCTTCCTCCTCCCCCTCTTTGTCTCTCGCGCTCCTCCCCACCACTTCTACCTCCCCCATCTCCTCTTCTTCCCCTACTCCAACCTCTGACTCTCCCAATCCTTCCACTGCTGCTGCTTCTGCTGCGGCTGCTGCTACCACCACTGCACCGCTTTCTCAGCAGCAGCTGGGATTTCTATCAGTCTGGCTAATAGCCCTCCGCCCCTCCCCACCCACTAAGCATTTCACTTTAGATTGGGCCAAGCAAGCCTTTTCCAATCACAGAAGAAAAGCAGCGGAGATAGGAGCAGGCCCCCAAGAAGCCTCCGCCAGCAGCGGTAGCAGCAGCGACGGTTCTGGTTCGGGCCCGAGCCTCCGGTTCAGGTTCGGGAAGCTACGAACCACGGGCCTCCAGGCTTGTATGAACCGAGCCATAGCACATATGGTGAAGGAGGAAAACCAGAAGGACGGAGCTTTGGTAGGGGTCTTGCCCGTGCCTCTGTTTCCCCCTGGGTGGTTGGCTGTGGGGAACCGCGAGTGGTTTGAGGCGCAGCGAGAGCGGTTGGTTGCGGTGCATAACAACTGTGGCATGGAGAGCAAGCACAAGGCGAAATGCTTCAGGAGTATGAAGCTTTGGTTGATTGATGAGTGATGAGTTTTCTTATGGATGCTTATGTGTGTGACGACGAGTTGTCAAGTGGAGCGAGCTGAGGCGCCGCAGAATTGGATCCTTGTGACGACGAGTAACAGTAGTGTTTCAAAGGAAGAATGTTAGGGATACGGGAAGGCCCTGTTTTGAGTTGGTTGCACAACATAAACCAGCATTGGCATTTTTGTCTGCCCTTAAATGCAGGAAGCTTTTATAGTATTGTCCACCATTTTGGGTCTGCAGCACCGCGGTCTGCTAGTCCAGTTTTGTTGTTGAATGAAGCTGTTGCAATATTACCGTACTGAAATCATGTTATAGTGCACACATAGCATCAATTGGCCATGTCAAACATGCCGAACCGTATGCATTCTTTCGAAACGCCTCTAAAGAGGATGTGCATTAGGGTGCACCACACTTGACATCAGGCGCAAGGCACCGGTCGACCATGTCTGACAGGTTAAGGTTCTCGAGAGCTGCTGCTACAACAGATGCCCAATAGGACACACACACATATGACACCACATCCCATCGCATTACATGGAAGGGGCAAGGCACCGGTCGACCATGTCTGACAGGTTAGGGTTCTCAAGAGCCGCTGCTACCCTCTCCTTGTCATTCAGCTGCTTGTTCACTGCATGCCATGGGGTAGACAGGGGTTGGGGAGGGGAGGGGAAAGAGGAGAGCGCAGGGGGGGAGGCAGAGAGGCGGATGAGTGTGAAGGGGCCTATAACACAGAGGGTTCTCAAGAGCCGCTGCTACCCTCTCCTTGTCATTCAGCTGCGTGTTCACTGCATGGCGCGTGGTAGGGCAGACAGGGGTTGGGGAGGGAGGGGAAAGGGGAGAGCACAGGGTAGGGCAGACAGGGGAAGACAGGCCGGCACAGACAGCAGGAAAACACAATGGAGCTAACCACAACCGACTATCAATAAAATCACGCAAAAAAAAAAAAAAAAAAAAAAAAAAAAAAACGAGCTAGTAAAGACTAGTGAATATGCATGGAACCTTATGAGTCAGCATCAGCTTGACAAGGGCAACACGACGAGCCTTGGCTTATGTACATCAGCTCACAAAAAACGTGACTTTTAAGTTGACTCAAAAGTCGCTTTGGGTCAAGTGCATTGGCTCACAAGCAACAGCACAAGGGACTTCACCGCAACCCAAAGCAGCAGCAACAGCAGCAGCAGCAACAGCAGCAGCAGCAACAGCAGCAGCAGCAGCACTATTACCAAAGGTGTGCCACCACAAACAAGCTAGTGAAGCTCAGTATTCATGCATGGAGCCTTACGAGTCAGCATCAGCTTCAAGAGCAAGCGCAACACGATGGGCCGCAGCTCATCTCCTCTCCTCTGGCCCACGATTCACTCGAGCTGGCTCATCAAGCCGCACGCTGCACTCGTGCGTTCCAATTTCAGAATACGCCAATGAGTAGTCCCGGTGCTGTGCGGATTGCGGTAGCTGCCATGGGCCATGGCAGCTCCTGTGGCTCGGCAGCTCCTGCGGCTCGGCAGCTCCTGCGGCTCGGCTCAAGCCACACATGTGGCTCTTCCTTTAAAACCCTTGATTTCAGCCAATGGCATCACAGCCTTAGATTCTAACCTTGTATCTCAGCATCTGGCTCAACACAGGAGTATTTGGCATACGTACCTTCTGCTTCCGAAGCGTGAGACCCTGGAGATAGCCGAATGTCCACCTGTTACCGTGAGAAAAGAGGGCGGGTGGTAGGGTAACTAAATGCATAAATTTGGTGACAGCCAGGTGGTAACCACACCTGGGAACGGGCAAGATAAACCATATGGGTTGATTGGCGAAGCTTGGACAGGATCAAATTTAATTGAACAAATCGAACGAGAAAAACTGGCTCGAAAAGTAGCTGGAAGTACTGGCAGAAAGAAGCATACAGACGAAAGCAGGCTGATGCAAACCCATGATGACTTGAAGGGAGCTCTTTCAACAAACCATGGCCCACAGCAATCCAAGAAACTCCGCAACAGGGCCCTAAACAAGGCGAACTAACCCCCCCCCCAAACCTCGCCAAAATCCTCTCCACCGCTCTCAACTCCCCTGACTTGCCTTAAATCTTCGGGGCAGGCATCTCATGAGCTTGACTCGTATGGAGAGGCCGATTAGGGTTGCCATGCTGCAGTGCTGCACTGTAGGAGTAAAGCGAACGCTGCTCACGGGATAGTGCAAGGAAAAAAGGAAAGGGGGACGAGTGGATGAGCGGATGAGCGGATCAAGGGATAGAGGGACGTGGGAGAAAAAAAGCAGCATCGGAGAAATTAAGAGGGGAGGAGGAAAGGGGGATGGGGGGGAGGGGGGAAAGGGGGGAGAGGAGGGCGAAAGGCAGGAAGGGGGGGGGAGAGTGTGTGAGTGAGTGGTACTACCATTGCGTGGGTAAGCGATGGGTTTCGTGGGGTTAAACGTATTGTGAGAAGAGATAATGTTACATGATGCATGCATGGTAGAGTTTCAGGGACTGGACCCATCTGGAGTAGTACCGGCTATTCAGGGCCAACATACTACTCACGCTCAGAATGTCCACACTCTGTACCACACCACACATACGTGACGTGGCAGCTGTCTGTGTCGTCGCACTCAATGACCTCCAGTTAATCACGTCAAGCTGCTCCAACGGAACGGACTTGTCCCAACTGTGACACATGTGACATGACACACCTGTGACACGACACACCTGTGACATGAAACCAACGACTGACACACACGTACAGCGCTGCCAACCAGTGCACTACGATGCCATAGCTCATCCACACGTACGTGATGTGGCTTCCCGTATCGTCGACTCAATGTTCTCCTCGTTAACCACGTCCAGCTGCTCCGAAAGCTACAGCATTTTACCTGTGGCAGTGGCACACTAGACGCACGCACGCACGTACGTACGTTATGTGGCTGCCTGCGTCGTCACACTCGATGTTCTCCTCGTTCACCACGTCCAGCTGCTCCAACGAGTACGGGTGCTCGGGGTCGCTTATATCGCGGATGTGCTGTGCTGGCGGTCAGGAGAGACATGGCACCAATAACGAGCAGCGAGGAGATGCAAGGCGAGGGGAGGGAAGGGGAGGGGGAGGGGGAGAGGAAGGGAGGAAAGGGGAGGGGAGGAGAGGGGAGGGGAGAGGAGACGGGGGGCGAGGGAGGCGAGGCACAAACACGAATCCGGCAAGAGACGAGAGACGACGAGCCCGCAAGGGAGTCCATAACGGCGAGGAAATGAATCCGGAAAGGAAAGAGGATTCCGGACAGAAAAGAGGATTCCAGAGAGAAAAGAGGATTCCAGAGAAAAGAGGATTCCAGAGAAAAGAGGATTCCAGAGAAAAGAGGACTAGAGGCAAAAGAGGTTTTTGGAGAGAAAAACGGATTTTGGAAAAGAGGTGAGAAAGTGCGAGAGGAAAGAAAGGAACGGGTTAAGGAGCAAACTGATAGCCAGGTCAGGTGAGCATCAATACAGGGAAAATCTTGATAGAGGATGCTTGAAAGAGCATACAAACGAAAAAACAGAATAAATAAACAACCGAATGATGGCAAGTGTAAACGGTTATTCACGCTTAATCCTTGAATAGCAAAAGCGAGAAGATGGCTTGTTGAGGAGGATATCAAAAATCTCGGCTGCGTCAATCAGTTCCCTCTCCCCTTCCGCGACCGGAGGTCGCGCCTCCGTGACAGTCCGTGCTTTCCGCTCATGAAGCTTCGGGTTTGGGTTGATTAGACCTGGGGTCATGTTGTGCGACAGCGGCGACTGGCGACTGCAACTGGCGAAAGGCGACAGGCAACCAGCGACTGGCGACTGGAGATTGGAAGCGACGATGACGAATGAAGATTGCGGCTAGCGCGCAGCTAGGGATTGGCGCTTTTCTAGTGGCGATTGGTGATCACAGGCGATGCTTTGGTGAAAGAGCCGACCTGAATTGAGCGAGTCGGTTACGAAACCCGGATGGACTGAAGATGCTGCGAACAGAGAAAGATGAACGGACCTCGGATGGACTGAAGATGCTGCGAACAGAGAAAGATGAACGGACCTCTTAAAACACCGCTTACAGCATTTATTTAGTGCTACAAACCACCTAATGGAGCGAAGCGCGATACCGTCAGTGACCTGGAACTGAAACGAGACTGCTACTGACGAGATTAGGAGGTAGCTATTCGCAGATATTCGATATGAAAAACACTGATCGCGGACTCAATAACACGTCGGCATGTGAATCATAAGCGAGCCGCGAAACTGAAGCGTAGGTTCGAATTCCACCTCGCTTTTACGTCAACAGGCTGAAGAGGTAATGGGGTCCGAGATATCATTCACAATTACGACTGAAACAGCAGAGGAGGCGAACCTCCATGCAGCCACGCAGGCACAGACAGCTGCTGCTGTCGTGTTCTATCGCCCCTCCCAGCTGTGTCTCTCAATCGAAGCGTCAATCCGAGTCATCCTACCCTACAATCCCACTGCAAAGCTCACACACGCAGCACAACTCGTCCAGGTCTGAGGCATTTCTGAAGCGGTGTTCATTTTGTTCGTTCGCACTGCACCTGACTCGTCTTTGCTTCGGTGCGTTGCGTTTCAGCGTGGTCCTTGCAAAAACAAACTGGGTAATATATTACCCAGCAGGGAAAGTGTAGAAGACACGGGAGTACGTTCACGCAGCACAAAACGGACCAGGAGGTGCATGCAGGAAGCGGAAACTGATCAAGTGGTCCCCCACCACCTTCAAGCAAATGCACTCATCTCCGTTATGGTCTCACGCTACTTAGCCAATGGAGAAGAGCAACCAAGACAGTAACTTCATTAATATGATGAAAGACATCCTTAGAAGTTGCAGCCTTTATATTTACATGAAACAGAGCTTTTTTTACTTCAGAAAGCTCAGATAAACTGTCAACCAGAATGCCATTGTACATATTGAGAGAATGTGCTCCCAAAATAGAATGGCCGAGGCCTCCTTTTCTCCATGGCCACGAAGTGTTGCAACCGCACCTGACAAGACGGATACAGTACAACAAATTAGAGCAAAAAAAAAGTTAAGCATGCAGCAGACAGAAAACTACCTGTACTATGATGTACCTGCCAGAATAGAAGTTGGCATGGTATGCTGTAGCAGCAGCACAAAATTGAACATCAAGTCGTCCTTTGGGAAGAACCTGAAAGGAACAGCAGGATAACAAAATAGGCATTAACTGCATTCAGCGTTACAGATTGACAGAAAGGGTAAATCATCTGATTCGGTCCATACCCCAAAGACTTAGCAGTCTGAACCAGCATCAATCCTGATGCTGGTATAATGAGAAGGCGCACAAGTGTAATTGCAACAGTGGTGCGAACTCCAAGCTCCGAACTTCCAGGACCTGCAGCGTGAGCAGTTGGGCAACATCAAGGAAGAAAGAATGATAAACATAGTGATGAATACAACAAAAAGAAGCATCCCTTGCTAGTGAAGAACTCACCCTTCACAAGATTTCCACCAAGGACAAGCATAACGCATGGAACCATTGCACCCCTGCAACCATCACCAAAAGCTGCATCAGCATCTTCAAAAAAATAGGAATATGATATTCCACACTCCAAGCCTTGCAAACAAAAAACTAGATGTGCCTTCCATGTCCTTACCCGCAGATGTTGAGGCTGTCTTGAAGAAACAGTAGGGGTGAATGAGGATTGAAAAAAACGGCTTTGAGCTGTGGGGTGGCTCCAACGATCAAAGCTAGCAGCTGTTCCAAGCATGCATAAGGGGCAACAGAGTAACGCCAGATTGTTATGGAAGGACAAAATGGAGTGTACGAGTGTAAAGAGAATATACAACAAGAATTACGAACGGACATGTAGCCGTTAGATGAAGATGATGTTGATAGGCAGACAACTGGACTCACAGATGCCACCACTGGTGGTTGGAAAATATCAATGATGTGAAGCTTCTCCATGACTCTCCATATTATCTTAAGGCGCTGCACACAGAAAACATGCTCGCTAAACATTTACAAATCTAATCCATCGACCAAAGAATAAGAATCTATAACGTAAGGCACTCACCTGCGAATTGGAGGCTCTCAAGAAGCTGGTCTGGGGAGATCCTTCTGATAGTTCAACATTTTTTTCCAAGAGTTTTCCTTCATCGGGTTTCACCTCCTGGATGTCACTTCCGTCAGAGTCAGGCTTATTCTCTGCCTCTTGAGTCACGTTTGCAGGAAGCTGGCTGTAAGCACTTTGGTCGCCGCTGGTGGCGGTTTCAAGCTTCTCAGAATCTTTAGGTGGAGCGAGCATAGCATACACAAAGGTGTAAACGATCAAAGCTCCAACCTGCACCAAAATGCGGATATCAACATTCCATCTTGGGCGTCGTGAGGAAAGCTGCAGAATTGACGGACAACCCTTTCCATCTTACCCACTGGCCGAACGAGATGTACGCGACTCCTGACTCGTTGCACACAGTAGGCGTGCCGAAGGGATTAGTCTTCTCCCTACAGATTGCGCCGATCAAAACCAGTGGGATGTTCCCGATGTTTCCTGGAGTGAACAAAAAAACGCACAAAAAGTGTGGCTCATATAGACACGACCCTCACACAATCGTCACGGAAGGGATCCACAAAGGAGACTGATAATAAGAGGGACAATCAGATACTCACCTATGCCAATCATGACGATGGTAAACTTAAAGTACTGAGGAGGCGGCCTGATGATTAGAGCCACGATCAGGCCTATGGTGCATCCGACAACAGCACCAAGAAACACATTCACTGGAATAAACCACCTGCACAGGGGTAAACAGCGTAATTCAGGGACATCGTAACAGCCAAAACGGCACTGTATTTGCAACGGATCATCATCGTCTGTCATAATACCATTCCGTGAGCTTTTGCCACGTCACGGCTGCACCCAACTGCGTGAAGATCAGGCATGGAAGAAAGAGCGTGAAGACAAGCTGCTCACACGCATCCAACAAAACAAGCACAGTAAGTATTTGGTATCACCTGAGCGTAGGTGAAAAATCTGGGTGTTACGGAAAGAATAAAACAACCCGAGGACTGGTCATGATCTGAGATGAAGGGGAGATGAGGCACGGCAGACCTTGCTTAGGATTTTCCGGTTCTCTGCTGAGAGGATTCCGACATAGTCTGTAGCCATAAGCAGGCCTAACGAGCACATGAAGAGAACTTTAGCGACAGGTAAGATGGCGAACTGGAGAAGCCGTGCGAAAGCTCCTTCCTGCGTAAACATGGCTACGAAAGCACTCGCCATTCCTACGCAGATTTCAACGTGCGTAATCGAACAGCACTTGGAGCTACGGGAATCTCCGGCACGAAGCGGAACCGCGAAAGTAAGAGAGGCTGTGCTAAAACCGACGAATGAAAAACAAAAGAGTAGTCAGGTCACTGCAAAAGATCGTGGGAGCTGATGCTCTGTGGGTGGAAACAGCAAGCTCGACGAAAAGGCTTCAAACTTTCTCAGGAGTCTCTCCAAGATGCTGCAGGGTGTGCAAGGTATCACAAACGTCAATACACCGAAGTGTGCTCGTACATTACCGAACTTGAATACAGTACTAGCCGTCAAGGATGACACGAGACAATTCACGGAATTCGTCAGTCAGCTGAAAGTGGTCGCGCCGACAGCGAGAAAGCTGGGGATTGCTGGGGAACTGTTAGGGCGTGTGTCCTTCAGCAAATTTTGTAAAGTTTGCTTTTTTAAACTCGACTTTTTCTCACTTGAACTTGGCTCGAACTGTAGTCGAATTTTACAAATTCCCATGGTCTAGCCGCGAGTAACCTTTCAAGGCAACCACATGTCACATCGAAGGGTCGACCCTCAAAAGTCGACTTTTACAACCTAGCTCGCATCGCGCATATGACTCTTAGGTTACCCTGTTTGCCATCTTGACCGTGCGCCACGTCTGATTCGATGGCGCACGGTGAAACCTACGTATGATTCGATAGCGCACGCGATGGCGTTCGCCATTGTCGTCAGTTTCGCTGCAGCTGCAAAAGTGGGAAGAAGGACACACGATTGCATGAAAGTGCGGGCGCACGTTCGAACGGAAACTCGACTCTATTTCAGTGTCCATTTTTGGTTCCATCTTTCCCACCTGTTTTAACGAAAGTCGCAACCCAGCAGGGCGAGGCTAACGAAACGGGTTACCATTAAAAGTTCAAACTCGTTTTCGAACTCAGCCCGCCAAGGACACACGCCCTTACGAGTGCAATTGAGTATCGAGAGAGGATTGCAGTATCGAAACAAGAGTACAATGAGCGAAGGCATGAGCGAAGAATATATAGGGAGACTACAGTGGTAACGGTAATGCGTGAAAATGGGGTGCGCGACGGGCTGGGCGCCGAGGTTGGGAAATAACGAGGCGGAGGTCCGGAGCGCGGGTTACCAACCGAACCGTGAGGTTGGGTCGCGTCGTGAACAGTGGCGGGAGCGGTGTCAAGGCAAATGTCGCAAATGGTTACGGTTAACTGTTGGGTGTTGTTGGCGGGAACAGTTGTGTACGCGATGAGTAGGGACGCGAAGAAAGGAAAATGAATTTTCCTTACACTACCCTCCCCCCCCCCTAAGGAGGCCCTCCTTACGAAAGCGCGTGTACATCCCGGAAATTCCGGCTGCGTAGGTACTCGGTGAGGACGGGGTGGTTTTCGATGCTGCCCAGGGGGGCCCAGTTATCCTCGGTGGGTGTTCGGTCTCTCCAGCGGATCAGGAATTCGATCCTTCGGGCTCCTCGTGTGTCACGAACTCGGTGGCTCAGAATCTTTTCAGGCGTTATGATGGGTTCGGTCGGCGGTCGTGTCATCCTGGCGGGGCGATTGCGTGGCAGTTGGCTTGTGGATGGTACGTAGGGGCGAAGCAGACTGACGTGGAAAGACGGGCTGACGTACCAGTCAGCGGGGAGGAGGAGGTGGGCGGTGACGGGTGTAATCATGTGGCTGATGCGGAATGGTCCACAGCATCGAGGGCGAAGCTTTGGGGTAATGGACAGCCGGAGGTTCTGGGTGTCAAGTAAAACTAGGTCGTCGGGCTGGTAAGTGACAGGTCGGCGGTGACGGTCGGCGTTGCGTTTTGCGATGATGTTCGATTTTTTAATTGCGTCCGCTGCCCGGGTCCGTGCTGCTTGTAAAATTTCGGCGAACTGTTGCGCTCGTGGCACCGGGTTGTCAGGATTCGGGGTCATGGGTACTGTCGGGTCTTGTTCGTAGTTTAGGTAGAACGGTGACTGTTGGGTCGTGGCGAAAGGTAAGTTGTTGTATGCGAACTCGATGAGTGGCAGCTGTTGTTCCCAGGTGGTCGGATCATCGCACATGGCTCGGATGAGTTGCTCCATGGTCTGATTTGTCCTCTCTGTCTGTCCGTCGGTCTCGGGGTGGTATGAAGAGCTGAACTGTAGTCGCGTGCCGAACTGCTGCCACAGGTTCCGCCAGAAGTTGCTGGTGAATTTCGTGTCTCGGTCGCTGATGATCGCTGCTGGTATCCCGTGCAGTCGAATGACGGTGGAGATGAAGAGGCGTGTTGTTTCTTCGGCTGTGATTGATTTCTTGCAGGCTGCGAAGTGTGCCATTTTCGTCAGTCGATCGACGACGACCAAGATCGCGTCGTTCCCACTCGCTCCGGTCGGTAACCCCATGACGAAGTCCATCGTCACCTGCTGCCAAGCACGCTCTGGGGGTGGTATCGGCTGCAACTGTCCTACTGGCCGCTTCCGCGATGACTTCATGATCTGGCAAGTGGGACACGATGCCACGTGTCGTTGAAGGTCGGTCAACATTTCGGGCCAGTAATAATACCGCTGCAGCTGCTGCCGTGTTTTCTCTACCCCGAAATGCCCCGAGGTAACTCCGCCGTGTGCCTCCTGTAACAGTAATTCCCGTAGCAGTGTATACCCTGGTACCGAGATACGGTCGGTCCCGGCTTTAACGTAATAGACTCCCTTTGCTGCTGCGAACTGCTGCGAATTTCCTACTGTAAAAAATAGATCCGTTTGGTACCCGTGGGTAAATAGGCCTGTAAGTAGTGGGCTGGTCTGGGCGAGTAGTATGGCATGGATCTGGGCAGTGGGGCGGGTCAGTGCGTCGGCGATGTTCGATGCCCCTTTTTTGTAGGTGACTGTGTAGTGGAAGTTTGACTCGAGGAAATCGAGCCTGCAAAACTGTCGTGGGTTGAGGTGGGGCTGTGCGCAGTGTGAGAATAACGAGTTGTGATTGCATTGAGCAGCATGAGGAGTACAAGTAGGAAACCCAAAATAGTTGTACCCCATATGAGCTACCCCACTACAGCCTACACAGACTATAGCATATGAGTTTGACACACCCCCATAGGCAAAGTGGGGGAGAACAAGGGGTCACAAGACCAGTCAAGCAAAGCACAGCAAGCTCAGGGTGGATCCCAACGTCACCACATATTCTGAGCACAAGTTCAAGGGCCACAAGGCCAGTTCACATGCAGGTATATATATATAAAGCTAAACATGCAAGTGCAGGTATATATAAGTCAAAGTACAGGCAAGGTCAAGAAGTGAGCAAGTGAGGCAAAGTAGGTACAAGACCTAACAGAGTACAAAAGCGCTGATGATCACGAGGAGCGAGTGCCTTGGTGAAGATATCAGCAGTGTTGGCCTGAGAGGCCACGTAAGCAAGTCGCAGCTGACCACGCTGCTGCAGCTCACGAGCAAAGAAGTAGTGAAGAGCAATGTGCTTCGTTCTGTGCTCCAGTCTGTGCTCACGACACAAGGCTAGCATGGCCTTGTTGTCTACGTACAGCACTGGAGGAGAACGAGGCGGCTCTCCGAGGTCAGTCAGCAGGTAGGTGAGCCAGCGTAACTCCTGTGCAGCCATGGCCCCCGCGTAGATCTCAGCCTCACAACTGGAGCTGAGAACAGAAGAAGAGCGGGTAGACCGCCACGAAACCGAACCGGAACCAAGGCTGAAGGTGTAACCCTGTGACGACCGCTGCGTAGCCAAGTCGTCAACCCAAGACGCGTCTGCGTGACCAGTGAGGACCACTGGACTCCGCCCTCCAAGCACTAGCCCCATGCCCGACGTACTGCACAAGTAGCGCAACACCCTCTTCGCTGCAGCCATGTGCTCAGGGAGGTGTCTCCCAGGAGCAACATAGCGTGCCAGAATGCTAAGAAGGTATGCAAGGTCAGGTCGTGTGCATGTCATCAGGTACATGAGGCAGCCAACAAGCTCTGGGTACGGGCCACTCGGCTCTACGGACTCATCCGAAGGCAGAGCTGAGAGCGAGTGGCGAGTAGACAGAGGAGTGGCCTGAGGCGAGGAGTACGTGAAGCCGAAGTGCTGAAGGACCTGCTGCACCATGTGTGACTGAGTCAGGGTAATGGTGCGCTGTGCTCTGTCCCGGGTGATCTGCAAGCCAAGGTAGCTACGCAGTTCACCCAGGTCTGTGCACGTGTGTCTCTTCTGCAGCTCAGACTTCACGTGGGCGAGTCCAGCAGTGTCAGCTGTGGCAAAGACCAAGTCGTCGACGTACACGAGGATGTAGAACGGCGGCAAAGAGGTGTCGGTGCGCAGAAACAGCGACGGGTCGGCAGTAGAAGGAGCAAACCCAAGAGCCGCAAGTGTAGTCCTCAGTGTGTCGTGCCACTCACGAGGTGCCTGGCGGAGACTGTAGACTGGCCGCCGGAGGCTCCACTGGGTGCCAGGAGGAAAAGACCCAGTGAAGCCAGGTGGGCGGCGCAGCCAGATCTCCTCGTGCAGGCTGCCCTGTAGGAAAGCAGTGCTGAAGTCAAAAGAGTGAAGCTCGTAGTCACGCTGAGCGGCTATGTGCAGCAGCACCCGAAGAGTGGTCATCTTCGGGGTGGGAGAGAAGGTCTGAAAGTAGTCAACTCCCTGCCGCTGACTGAAGCCTCGAGCCACGTAACGCGCCTTGAAGACAGGCGGAGAACCCGGCGGCCGCTTCACCCTGAAAATCCACATGCCACTGACGATGTTCGCCCCAGGTGGGGGAACCTCGTCGACGTAGGTGCCTGTGGACTTCCAGGAAGCCATCTCTGCGTCCATGGCTGTCTGCCACTGAGAGGAGTAGGGACCCTCTATCGCCTCCGCGTAAGAGCGCGGAGTCGGGATGTCTGGTGCATCCGGGTCTCCCTCAAGGGCAAGTAGCATGGATACGAGATG